GGTCGAAGCAATTTTTGCTCAGAACGAATCGACTATATGAACTGCTCGGATAACAGCGGATAAATTTGGACAAATGGGATGATTTAATTATTGTTTATGTAAATTGGGCGCCTATCAAGGTAATTATCGAATTAATCAATTGAATTTTATTCGTCTGTACAACTTCATCCGGTGGTACGTCGCTATCATCGCAGGCAGCATTTCAGTGTTCGTGAAATCATTATAATTTACGAAAGGCATTTCAACTAATAATGCAAGGAAGACTGCTGATTTCTAATCCTCGCCTACTGCGGTTTCAGAATTCTTACATGATTCATCAGTTTAAGCACAGAAAAGAACACTTTAATAGCAATTAATTTAAATATTGGACCGAAGCTGCTCAGATGGAACGATAAACAATTAGCAGTTGATTGATTAACTACGTATATCTATTGCACATGAATCCTCCATATCAGCCTAGCTGCGTTCCATTTGACGCATCTCCAGGTTGTTGATAGGATAACGATCCGAGATGTTGAAGTCAGCTGTGACAAATCAGCAGTGGACAGGCACCGTTGGCTATTTAGAGGAGATGTCAAGCTACGAGTCAGGCAAACCCATCACTTAAAAACGGACTGCATAAAAATCCATGATGCCCCCCCCCTCGGCGAGACTAGAACGATCAGAGAGGTCATCAGAGCCATAGCTGCCTTGCGTTTGAACCTGATAATGTCCAAGGCTGGTAGAGGCAACCTGATAATAAATCATGCGGCAGTTTGGAACTCGTATGTATCAACCGACCCTAGGAAACTTCATCAAACCGAGTCCTAGTGTTCTTCCTTCTAATTCCACTGTCTCTGCGGTAACCGACGCACACAGGAATGTAAGTTCGGTGACCCGAGCAAATATTACACGAACTGAACTGTCCACGCATCGTTCAGTGGTTTCAATCACCTGTTGGAATGTACGGATGCCATTTGAGCCGTTACTGGAAGTTGATCGGTTATTTCAACCCCTCACTGCTCGCACTCTATCCCGTTACAACTAGCCTGTCTTTCGGAAGTCTACAACTTTCACACAAGATTAAGCTCGGTGAAAATTCCTTAGTTTGAAAGAAGCTAAGGAAAAGCTTGAATTGATCCTCTTGTCACAGTGCTGTGTGATCAGTTGCATGCTGCTCTTCTCTCACCGCTGCC